TAGATTTATAAATAAATACAATAATTTGACAGCCAGATAGAGGTTCCTTCAAATTAAGTAACTGCCTTTATTGTGACTGATATTGAAACCAATCTCAAATCTATTCCAGATGATTTACATTTCCCAGTTGTTCCAAGAGCCTCTTAAGTCATTATGTTGGGAAATACCATTGTACTGTTCAAAGTTTTTGATAAGATGTGAATTCAGAAAATCTAGTCATTAAACTATGTACATTAAGTTGTTTTATGACTTTAAACACATCACCTATATTCTTCTGACTTTATTCTGCTCAGGTCTAAAATTATATGCTAAATTTTCTCAGAAACTATTCCAGAAAATAAGTCATATGATCTATGAAAATTGAAGTATTTTCTTTACTGCAATAATTCTTTTTAAAATCCAAAACCTTATCAATTTCATTAATATTATCGAAATGAACATTGCATATACCTATTTACAGAGTTTTTGATTGACTTCTAGATGAATGTAAGGATAAATTACCCATACTTGACGGTAGGATTGCTATCATTTCAAACATAGAAAATAAAATCAAATTCAGTAGGATAAGTGATTTTAACTCTTCTTAACAAGAGGGAATCTTCATTGTCCCAAGGACAACAAATTTAGCTATCACATAGGCATGAAAAATGCTCAATAATTTCATTCATTCTATGGGAATGTTTATTAAGAATGAATCATTCTTCATGCAAATATATGACTAAATATTATATGAGTCTTCAATAGTTACTACTTTACAATTGGCATTCCTCAAAAGTCTTGCAATAATAGATTATTATGAGTACAAGTTCTATATGCAAACACAATGCCATTGTGCTGGAACCAAGTTATAGGATAATAAAAAATGCACTGTGGACTATTTCCTGAATTGCTTCAATTTAATTTTCTTATGATCAGATTCTTAGAATTACATTGTCCAAATCAATACATCAAGGGAAGTTAATTTTTAAAAGGAATCTTCTGTTCTAGAATTTTATGAACCGCACTAAGCTGAAGACGACAGTCTTAAAGCAGATGGAGCTCTGCAGCACTCCTGAGACTACACTGTTTGTAGACATTTCCTCCATAAAGTTATCGCTGTACAGCTCTGAAACCAGATTGGGCTGAGACTAAGTCACAGGAGATTTTCCACTATTAAAACCCAAGATTTTAAGGTGAGCTATCAAACTAATGTTTCAATGTTTACGGAGAAAGAGAAATGCATTTCTTCTCAGTCACAAAAAGACCTTACATTTATTTTTCTTGTAAAAAAATAGAAGCACACCATACTTTTTAAAATTGTAAATGTTTCCTCAATTTTTTGCTTTACAACAATCTAGCATGAAAATAGTATAAGCATGTAAAAAAAATCCTAAAATAAATTTAGGAATAGGCCTGTCTTTTTCTGAAGGGACATGGAAGCAGTAGATCTGGGGAAAAGAGATTATAGAGGAGGAGACCTCAGAGGAGTGGAGAAAGGGATGCTGTGGTTGCATGTATTACTTGAGAGATGAAAAATAAGTAAATAAATAAAAAGATTAAGCAAAAAACAAAAACAAGAGAAAGACAGAGAACCTTTCCACAAAGGAAATAATAACCTTCTTTCTAAGAATGAACATTTGGATAAAAGCATAAAATAAAACAAATATCTGCAACTCGGGCAGCCAAGATAATTACATGGCACTGGAATAAAATTCAGACTCAATCCTCACAGTAATTAAAGGAACTTGAGAGGATCATGTCACAATGTGAGCAAGTCCTGAGCTTTTCCATATACTTCCTAAACTCATTTGCATATGTAATTGCAGTAAAGTATCCCAATATCAAGCTGGACAATTTCCAAATTGTGTGCTGCATGTATATCTAAATAATTTCCAGAGGATGTGTTTTTATGCTTAATTAGTACAAATAACTGAAGATGTTTAAAGGGGTGAAATCATATATGCCCCTAAAATCACAATTTTTTAAACATTCTGTCTCTCAAAAAATACTTCAGATTTACCCAAAATCTGTGCAAAATAGTGGAAGTGACACAAAGTAATAATATCTTTGATTTTTTTATGTTTACCATCACTTAACATGTAAGTGTTTAATAGAATTTCTTTGATTTTAAAAGCAATGATACAAAATAACTTGGACTTGAACTTAAGTACTGCATTTGAGTATTCACTTTAAGTTCTGATGATCCTGCCTCCACTCCTCAAGCTTTTACGTAACAGGTGTGTGGTACTGTTTATGAGCTGCTGAAGATAAAAGGCAGGACTGTGTATATTTTATGCAATCAATCAGCCAACTTAGTTACAGCAACATTTATATGGTGATTTTTCAAATGTTTACCATACAACGTTAGTAAGAAAATTTACTTCTAATTCTACATATTTTAAACAAGCATGAGGAAAAAGCAATTTAATAAAATGCATTAGACTGTATGTTAAATATAATTAAGCTTACTTTCTATGTTGTAAAAGATTGGTGCACAAATTTAGAAATTTCTCACTGATTTAGAAACATTTTATGTATCAATCATCTCTCCTTTCCCTCTCCCTCCCATCCTCCTATGCCCGCATCCAACACCCCAACCGATCCCCACCTGGCCCCCAAGGACGGCGAGGCCTTCCATGGGGGATCATAAAAGTCTGTCACATCGTTTGGGGGAGGGCCTACGCCCATCTCTGTGTATCTGGGCTGAAATAGTATCCCTCCTTAGGAAATGGGCTACCAAAGTCCATTTGTGCACTAGGGACAAATACTGGTTCCACTGTTACACGTTCCATAGCCTGCCCAGGCCTCCTAACTGGCACCCACATGCAGAGTTTGGTTCAGGCCAATGCTGGTTCCCCAGATTTACGACTGGGATCCATGTGCTCTCACTCTGTCAGTTTCTCACTCTGTAGGTTTCTCCTGCAAGGTCTTGACTGTTTTGCTCATTTCTCCTCCCTGTCTAAAACTGGATTCCAGGAGTATGGCTCGGTGCTTAGCTGTGAATGCGTGCTTTTGCTTCCATCAGCTACTGTGTGAAGCCGTTCATGGCGCCTGGTTTGGTCCTATGCTGGTTCCCCAGGTGTCATACTGGGGTCCATGAGTTCCCATTTACTCAGGTCAGCTGTTTCTGCAGGTATTCACAGTATGGTCTTGACCCCTTTGTTGCTCACCCCGCCCTCTCTGAAACTGGATTCCTGGAGTTGGCTCTGGATCTCTGCTTCTGCTTCCATCAGCTACTGGATGAAGGCTCTAGGATGGCATTGAGGGTAGTCATCATTCTCATTATAGGGGAAGGGCATTTAAGGTAGCCTCTCTACTATTGCTTAGATTTTTAGTTGGTATCATCCTTGTGGATCTCTGTACAATTTCCTAGTGCCAGATTTCTTTTAAAACCTATAGTGGCTCCCTCTATTGATGTGTCTCTTTTCTTGTTCTCTATTCCTCTCCATACTCAATTCCTCAACTCCATATTCCATTCCTCTTCCTGATCCCTCATGTTGTCCTTCCCCCTCCTCTTCTCCTTTCCTCTTTCTCCTACCACCCTTCTTCCTCTGCCCATGTTCCCAATCTGTTCAGGGGTTTTTGTCTTTGCTTCACCGGGGTACTATGTCTCTCTGTCTTACAGTCCTTGTTTCCTTGCTTCTCTGGAGTTGTGGATTGTAGGCTGGTAATTCTTTCCTCTAAGTCTAATATCCATATATGAATGAACATATATCATATTTGTCTTTCTGTGACTGGGTTTCTTCACTTAGGATGGTTTTTTCTAGTTGCATCCATTTGCCTGCAAACTTCAAGATGCCATTGTTTTCTTCTGCTGAGTAGTGCTCCATTGTGTAAATGTACCACATTTTATGTATTTATTCCTTGGTTGAGGGATATTTAGGTTGCTTCCAGGTTCTGGCTGTTACAAAAAATAAATGCTGCTATGAACATAATTGAATAGTTGTCCTTATTGTATGAATGTGCATCCTTTGGGTATATGCCTAAGCAAGTGGAATTGCTGGATCTTGAGATAGACTGGTTCCCATTTTCCCTAGAAACTGCCATACTGATTTCCAAAGTGGCTGTACAAGTTTGCACTCCCACCAGCAATGGAGTAGCATTCCCCTTTCTCCATATCCTCTCCACAATAAACTGCCATGGGTGTTTTTTATTTTAGCCATTCATTTTTTTTTTTTTTTGGTTTTCCAAGACAGGGTTTCTCTGTGTAGCTTTGGAGCCTATCCTGGCACTCTCTCTAGAGACCAGGCTGGCCTCGAACTCACAGAGATCCACCTGCCTCTGCCTCCCGAGAGCTGGGATTAAAGGCGTGCGTCACCAACGCCCAGCTTGATTTTAGCCATTCTAACTGGTGTAAGATGGTATCTCAGGGTTGTTGTCACCAAAGATTTTTTTGAGTATTCTGGTCATTTTTTTCCTTTGAGTAACTATTAACTAAAAGACAGAGAACAAACATGTGATCTGATGGGGGAAACTGCTCTCTGTGCTTTTATCTGTAGAAATTTGGTAGATGTCTTTGGGAAAGTTATCTTCTATTCCTGCTTTGCTTAAAATTTTATCTAAAAATAGGCTAATGTGGAATTTCTTTACAAGAATTTTGTGCACTGATCAAATGGATTGTGTATTTTGATCCTTATTCTGTTAATGTGGTGAGATATTTTGATTGATCACAAAATGTTGATATGTCAATTAAATGAATAAATCTCATTTATATTTTTTTCAGCTTTTTGTATTGTTTAATTTAATTTATTGTTTGTGGCAGAAACATTTTTTAAACTTAATTCATGTCTGTCTTTGTCAGTTTTAAAAGATATAGAAATGATTTCAAACAAGTTTCATTACACTCATGTAATGTTATTCTTATTTAAATTAGTAACAATCTTCTTTTGCATGTCAATCTCAGTTCCCTCTCACTCCCCTCCTCCCCTGTCCCCCACTGAGCCCCTATCCCAACCACTTTCTGCTTCCTTATTTGAATATTTTTATCATCTTCATAATTAGTCAAAACTCAATGTTGCATGTATCTTGTCTGAAGTTTTATTGTTAGCATATTTTGTGTATGAATCTAAATATAAACATAATCTAGCAACATTATCTGTGTTTAGTTATAATTTTTTACAAACTTTTTTCCTCCTCTTCAGGATTTTTGTTGCCCAATGATCATATTAGAAATGTGAGAGGTCTCAGTGAGCTCCATCATAGGTGCTTGGTTTATTTGGAACCAATTTGTTTTTATAGATTTTAGTAATGTTGAAGTATTCTAGGGATTTATCAGTGTGACCTTCCTGATGAAATTAAAATTTTCTGTGTTCTCAAAAAAGAAAAGGAAGAAAACTGGAATAAAACTAGGATTTGCATACAGAAGAAGAGCACCTAGCATTTTTGGTTGTTCCAGTGATTTTTTTTAATGTAATTTTCAATGACTTGTTGTGAAAGGTACATAATTATGGGCAATTGTTTGCATGTTAAACGATGTTCCATGCATTCTTTATTTGGTTCAATCCTATAAATGTTGGCAAATCATATACATATATGTTTGTGTTGATTTTAAGTAAATGATAATTTTTAAGCTGAAAAACATTGGATTTTCAATAATTTGTTGTTAATCATGTTGTAAAATTAGTTGTTATATATGAGTATATATCTGTATGGTGGCTGAATTCTCAGGAAAATGAATAGCAATGTTATTTTCAGCATAAAGGTAGCATGTGTTTTGAAAGGGGAAGATGATTATAATTCCAAAGGCATTTACTAGGTGGTGCTAAATAGGGAAAACTGTAAAGACAAAAGTTGCAAAAGAACCATAAGGCCAGAAGGATACATGTAGGATTTCAAATGTGTCAGATTTCAGGCCCTTGATGCACAGGAAAGAACATGCCATCCAGATTTTGGAAATCTTGATTAGTCTGTAATTTTATCTAAAAGAAAATGAAGAACAGCCATTTTGTTAGGGAAACAGAGGCAAACTGATGCAAATACGTATTTGTAAATTACAAATATTATTGTAATATCAATAAATTCAATCCCATTGGCAACCTATAATAACTATAAGTGCTTTTAATGTGGAGATAAACAGTTAAAACTGCAAGTCTGTAACTTAGACTACCAACATGTTTACATTTGAATTTTCACTGTAACTTTTCAAAGTATTTTTTATTTGTTCTTTGGGAATTTCATACATGTATACAATGTACTTGTCATATAAATCCTTAGTGTTCTCTCCAGCTCCTCCTACTCTGCCTCTACACTAATCTCATGACCCTCTCATATTAATTATTTTTCTGTTCTTCTCAAAAATGAATTCTTTTATTTTAGTGTGTGTGTGTGTGTGTGTGTGTGTGTGTGTGTGTGTGTCTGTCTGTCTGTCTGTCTGTCTGTCTGTCTGTCATGTGTAGGTGCACCCAAACCAGAAAAGACATCAGATCACATGCAGATGGAGTAAGGTTTGTAAAATGCCTGATGTGAGGGTTAGGTACAAAACTCAGGTTGTAAGAGCAATAGATACTGTTAACCCCTGGGCCATCTCTCATTCTCTTCCCTTTCCTCTTTATTCTACTTCTCTTCTTCCTCTTTCCTCACTTCCTCCTCTTCCCATTCCTCCTCTTATTTTTCTCATTATTTTTGAAGAAGCCTGTGTGTCTAATTAATATTTCATACACATGTGCATGCATGTAGTGTTATTGCCCTAAGTGTGGGTAATCTAGAAGTAATAAGCTTTTATATATATATATATGTATATATATATATATATATATTTTATATATATAACAACATTCCCTTTTGTAAGAAATCACAAACTGTGAAAAAGCTACTCAATTAAGTGCACGGAATCTTTTGACAACACAAAGGCTCCTTACCTCCTCTCCTGTTGGAACATTGAATGGTATAATCTTGAGGTTCTTTTCGAAAGTTCCTGTCATGCCCAAAGACAACTTGTTACTTCCTGACATTGGATTCTTTACAATCTTTCTCTCTTCTGTGATGTTCCCCTACTCTTTTTTGGGAGGGAGGGGGAGTACAAGATGCAGATATATGGCTGAGACCACCTTATACTCTTCCTCTGGACTCTCACCAATTGTGAGTTGTGCAGAAAGCAGATTCTCTGATGAGGACTGAGAGTTGCATTAAACTATGTGTATAGAAATTAATGTGTAAAAGGCAGCATGATTGGCTATTTGAAGCCCATTCCTTATAGTGGGAAACCTTGCTCAACCTTGATTCTGGGGTGTGGGGTGGAGTGGGTGCTTGGTCCTGCCTCAAATGGATGTATCAGGATTTGTTGAGTCCCCATGGGAGGCCTTATTCTTTCTGAGGAGTGGATTGGGGTTTGTTGCAGGGATGTAAGAAGGAGAGAGAGGAGGAATTGTTTACATGTAAAATGAACAATAAAATAAAATACAGGAAAGCCACCTTGATATTATGTCTATTTAGCACATTTTCAACATTTATAGGCTGATTCATTTTTATTTTTAATCTACCTGGAAAAAATTATCCTGCCTTCAAAAATAGACTTTAAACTATTGTATATTGATTTCTGGCTAAAATTGTATTTGTCTTCAGAGAAACAGATGTATTCTGTCTTTTGAGATGTGTGTGTGTGTGTGTGTGTGTGTGTGTGTGTGTGTTTGTATGTGAATGTGAAATGTATTTGTGTATGGGTGACATCCTCTATCATGGTATACCTTTTTGCCTTGAGCTAGGGTTGTTCACTGAACTTGAAACCATGTGTTTTGGGTAAACTGTTAGACAGCCACCAAGCCCAAGATGATTCCTTCTATCTTCTCCCAAATCTGAGTGGTGGAATGGTAGGAATTAGTGGTCACACTTGGTTTTTCACATGTAACCAGGATATACCAACTCTGATCACCAAGGTTATACAGCAGTTATTCTTGCCCATTGAGTCATCTCCATATCCAGCTCTGCATGGTTTTAAAAATGCAAGTGTTCAGGCTGGCAGTGTAACTCAGTTGTTCATCACATGCCTGTCTTGTGTTAGGCCATTGGTCATACATCAACAGCATTACCATAAAACCAACAACAAAAGAAAGAGCGGAAGGAATTATAACTTGGTTTTCACCGAGTAAACTCTATTATGATTATTTTTCATTGTCAACATATATATATATATTAAAATATATAAGGAGGTACATCAAAAGATATTTTTAATCCTTTTGTATAATAATTTAAAAGTGGATTTATTTTTACTACACTTCCACTGATTTGTAAACAAAAATCATGAGCAAAAACCTACTGATCTGTTACATGGTAAAATTTAAGTAAAGCTTCAGTAAATAAAATAAAAGCTAAACTAAGTTATTTTTTAAAAAGTACCCTAAATATTGTAAATGTGCATTAAAATGCAGCACACCAAAATGGTTTTGTAGACAATACCCCTAGAATGGTGACTAAGTAAAAATAAATGACTATAATTACTTTAGAAGCAGAAAATATATTTGTTTACATTAATAAAAAAACATACAATCTTATGTTCACAAACATATAAAACTTGTATACAAATACCCAGAGTGTTTCATAACTTAGAAGGAAGTAAAATTCCAATTATTTGTTTAATTTAATTCAGCATTTTAACAGGGTTAATGAAGACCTTCAGTAATTAGTTTCACATTTTTATTAATAAATTTAGCAAACACAATTTTGCTATTTATTTGTCAAAATTTCATCAAAATTTCCTTAGAGGAACCTGGCATGCTCCCATAGCATTCAACCTACAAGTTTAATGCTTCAGGAACCATAAGTGTGTTCTGATGAGAAAGAGACTACCACGAATATGAGATGGCTATCATTTTCATAATTTTACAGGTATTTTGATGTTAATTAAAATAGATTTGACATCACAAATAGTTGTGTCGCTTCTTTTACGAAACAGGTACTCTACAATAATCTACTTCAGAACAAAGCACTTAAAATGACATTAGTGTTGTTTCCCTAATACTGAATGAACACATTGTACATATTATATGGCCTGTAATGGAACTGTTGTCACACATCCAGAAAATATTTCCATTCTATAAAGCTCAAATTATTTTGTGTGTTTACTACTTTCTTCTTTCACACTCCTGGATAATATAAGAAGTATGGCATAAAATCAAGCTGCTATTCCTGAATATATACATGAAACTGGAGCCTTTCGAAGCCCTCCATAAATGTTTATTAATTAAAATAAATAATTGCGAATTAATAAATACTGCTTACCTTCATTTATAGTGATTGGAGATTTGTACAGAGCCTCCTGGGTTAGCTCATATTGACTCTTGGTCAATGAGAATTTGGGCCATAGAAGGATAATGAAAGTTGCAAAACCAGTAAGCATATGTGATATTTAAATATGAAAGGTTAGATCACCATGTTATAAAAATATATAACAGGTAAAATTCTCAGTCACTTCTAGAATTTTTACTTTTGAGTATCCAAACTGACACTATCAAAGTGCATGTTATTTTTCCCCTTCCCCCTGCTCCTCTCTGTCCCCCCATCCCATCCTCTCTCTGTTTCCCAGGGTGGGTGAGGCCTTCCATGAAGGATCTTCAAAGTCTGTCATGATTTGTAGCCAGGCCTAGGCCCTCCCTTGTGTTTCTAGGCTGAGAGGGTATCCCTCTATGTGGAATGGGATCCCCAAATCCCTTCATACATTAGGGATAAATACTGATCCTTTACCAGAGGCCCCATAAACTACTCAGGCCTCTTAACTGACACTGACATTCAGAGGATCTGGGTTGGTCCTATGCTGGTATAGAAGCTATCAGTCTGGGGTCCATGAGCTTCTGGTTGTTCAGGTCAACTGTTTCTGTGGGTTTTTCCACCCTGACCTTGACCCCTTTGCTCATAACTCCTCCCTCTCTGCAACTGGATTCAAAGAGTTTGGCTCAGCATTTAGCCTTAGGTGTCTGCTTCTGCTTTCATCAGCTACTGGATGAAGGCTCTAGGATGGCATATAAGGTAGTCATCAATCTCATCATCGGAGAAGGGCATTTAAGGTAACATCTCGACCATTGCTTAGATTCTTAGTTGGGGTAATCATTGTAGATCCCTGGACATTTCTCTAGTGCCAGATTTCTCTTTTAAATTGTAATGGCTCCCTTTAATATGGTATCTCTTTTCTTGCTCTCCTTGATTCATCCCCTGGCTCAATCTTCCTGTTCCCTCATGTCCTCTTCTGCCCTCCTCTTCTCCTCCTCTCTTTCTCCTTTCTCCCTCTCCCCTCTGCCCATCCTCCCAATTTGTTCAGGAGATCTTGTCCCTTTGCCCTTCTCCAGGGGACCATGTATGTCTCTCTTAGGGTCCTCCTTGCTTCCTAGCTACTCTTGAGGTAGGCTGGTAATCCTTTTACTCTATTTCTAATAGTCATATATGAGTGAGTGCCTAACATATTTGTCTTTTTGTGACTGGGTTACCTGATTCAGGATGGTTTTTTTTTTCTTTCTAGTTCCCTCTATTTGGCTGCGAATTTCAAGATTCCATTGTTTACTCCATTGTGTAAATGTACCAGCATAGGACCAACCCAGATCCACACATTTTCTTTATCCTTTCTTCAGTTGAGAGTCATCTAGGTAGCTTCCATGTTCTGGCTATTACAAATAATGCTTCTATGAACAGAATTGAAAAGGGGACACTCCTCTACTGCTGGTGTGATTGCAAACTTTTACAGCACTTTGGAAATCAGTATGGTGGTTCCTCAGGAAAATGGAAATCAGTCTACCTCAAGATCCAGCATTTCCACTCTGCATATACCTAAAAGTTACATATTCTGACTACATGGATATTATTTTATATTGATACTAATTTTGAATATTGAGAGTTATGTCCACTAAACAGAATAGTCCATTAAATCATACACTTAAATGACAAATGAGGTTATCATTTTTTTTCTTTATTTCAGAGCATTTGGATAACATTACAGCGCTACCCATAGTGTCTTTATATGAGTGTCTTGCATTTTGGCAGAGATACTGTGACCTACTCAGGTGGTAATTCTGCAGCCCCATAGTGTACTGTTTGAAAGACCAGGGACTGGAGCTGTTAAACTCACCTTCTACTGTTTGGTCCCTTCATTTTTGTAATATTGGAGCCCGAACTTTTCAGGTCTTCAGCCAGTATTTATACAGAAGACAGCTCAGTTCAACAGGAAGTGTACAAGAAGAATCAAAGAGCCCCCAAAATATTCTCTTTAATTGATATTTGAGTATTTGACATTAAAATGCTGGAAAGTACAAATAATTAAATATTGGTACTTTAGAAAATATAGCAGCAACACTATTAAAATAAGTTCTAAAATCTTAAAACATTTTTAAAAGGTTATAAGCTCATTTCTTTGTTAAATGTTCTAAAATCTACCAAGTTATAAATAGTATAATTATTTGGAAATCGAGACATAGCAATTTACGATATGAATTACTTATTATATATTTCCATGTCTTTGGTTAACTTTGTACAGCTTATTTTTAATAAGATATGCAATGGTTCACCTCATATTGATTCATCATTAGCCACTGTTAGTGGTATTTTCATCAGAAGATTAGTATTTATAAAACCAAATTATACCTTAATTAATATCTATTAATAGCAACAGTAAAAAACCCAAGCTACTGTGATTACACATAATTTTGAGTCATTATTAACAGTGAAAGACTTTGTCTACTTCATTAAGATAGCATTCTAAAATATTTCACCTTACATTTTATAAAATTAAGTTCAAATCCATGAATATCTTCAGAGTTTTAGAGTAATAAAATGATTAAAATATAGTGTGATATAAGAAATTTGGATAATTATTGGGGTTTGGAACTAAGAAATATTTGATCTTATCAATAACACATGAAGCAGTAGAAAAGATGGCAGAATAGATTATTTGTATCTGTGTGTTCACCAATGTTTTATTATAATAAGGATTACATGGATAAAAATATTTTAACATTTTTAAAATTAAAAAATATTCATTTTATTGAAAACAGATTTATTTAAAAAGGCTCATGTGAACTCCCACACACTGAGACATCAGCCACAGAGAATACATGGGTCTTCACCAGGTCCTCAGAATATATATTATGGCATTCAATATATATTAGTGTTTTTATGGGCCTCCTAAGTATATGAATGAGTGGATCTCTAATTGTTGTATCTGCTCTGGGCAGCTTTCCTTCTGCTTGTTTTAACTAATTCTGATGTGAAACTTTTTGTTTTAATCTTATTTTATTATTTTATAATTTATTATTATCATTCAGAAGGCTTGTTTGTTTTCCAGTGAGAGACAGAAAGGGAATGGATCTGAATGGATGGGGAGATGGAGAAAATGGAGAGGAATAGAGGAAAATTGGAATCATGGTGTTTTATGGGAGAGAACAAAATCTGTTTTTAATTCTTTTTATACACAGTGTCAAGCAATGCTTCTGTTTAATAATGCTGTACAAAAGAAACTTATTTATTATATAAAATATGCATATTTATTTGGTTTAATATATCAGTGAGGTATATTTTGTATTTGAATACAAAAGCTTGATATTCACTAAATTGCTACTGATAACAAAGCTTGATTTTGAATGCTTATCATGACAGCTCCAAGGCCCATAGAGCTTTGGCTCAACTGAAAGACTTTTAAATTGGATATACAAAAATTATGAGTTTTATTATATTTAACTTTAATTTTCATTTCAGTTGTGTTGGCCACTGGCTGCCATGCTGTATATCATAGCTCATAAAATTATAATCTGATCATCTTAAGCATAATATTCCTGACTACACATATTTCATTTTCTATGAAATAACTAATTAACATGTCTTTTTAATGCTCCTATTGCAATGAGAACTATGAAAGTTATAAGGAAAGATATTTAATAGTACAATTCTGGCAAAAAACTAAGATGATCTGGACAATGTGTTTGAGTGTGTGTATGTATGTGTGTGTGTGTGTGTGTGTATGTGTGTGTGTGTGTGTGTGTATGTGTGTGTGTGTGTGTAGAAATATATCAAAATTTTAGTTATTTCCAAAGTCTCCAAGAATAGGTGCTTTCTGTTTAATTTTAATATAAACAGCAAACATGAATCATCTGATGTTTTCATGTAACTTAAAATACCATAATTTCGATAATACAATTTAGTAAGTGCTATTTGTGGTTAGAATACATGGTTGAAACCACTATTTTACAATGAATGGAAATATACTTTGTACATAATCAAGCTTAGCAAGGTATAACACATAAACAATTACAAAATGTCCAATGCAAAAGAATTAGAAAAAGCAATAATAAATACAGGAAACATCAAATATTTTATCTTAGATATATAACATTTGTCTAGTAAAGTCTTTATAAAAATTCATATGAATATTTCAAATAATGAAATCCATGAGATTAAGACTTGGACAATAAAATCCTTTTTGTACTATAGAACTTTCACATGGGTACTTGGTAAACATTTTTAATTAAATAACTCTGCCATATAAGTATTATTGGGCTGTGTTTGAAATCCAAGGGAGAAAATAATGTACACATGAAGGAACATTAGGTTTTGTGCTTTCTCTCTAAGGCATTTCCATGTGATATTTAGTATGGTGAGTATAAATTTAATCAGCATTCAGCTCCTTGGTTTTGACCCCATGCAAGGCTTTGCTCTTACCTCAAAACAAACAAAAACACCCAAACACAGTCAAAATTAAAACAATTTTACCCTATCACATAATGCTTTAGAATCAGGCAACCATCGGAGATTGCAATGGAACTGCAATATCATTTCCATTCAATAATGAAAAGGAACTTTCACTAAAAGAAAATCATGAAAACAAAGTCTTCATTAATTTAATTAACAGAAAATATCAGTAAATGATCAAGCAAAGCAGAAAACAAAACAACAACAAAGGGGAATCCACTTATTCATTCCTTTAACTACACTAACTGCTTACACTCTGTGGTTACATCATGCCCTTAGCATTCATATCACATACCCCTTGAAATGTTGAGCTAACCCGATAAAGTATGAAATCATATGCTTTCCATGAATGTAAATAAATATCTTGCTCTAAATGTAATACAGTCTTCTCCATGGATGCCTGCATAGACCTCTGGAAATTTCATTCAACTTTATACTTTCTTTGTATCTATTTCCTACACTTGGGTTGGGATTTCCAGTGTAGCGCCACTTGATTATTTTCTGAGGATATTGACTAGGCGCTTTCATGAGATGTTTCTAAAGCGATCTATGGAAAATTATCTCTTCTTTACTAGACACATTTCTTTTCTCTTTTCTCTCTCTCTCTCTCTCTCTCTCTCTCTCTCTCTCTCTCTTTCTCTTGATTTATTTGGTATCTTGAGACAGGGTTTCTCTCTGGCTGCCCTGGAATTTGCTTCATAGAACAGGCAGGAGATCCCTTTGCCTCTGCCTCCAGAATGCTGAAACTAAAGGCTTGCACTACCCCTCCCTGCCTGGCCTTGACACATATATTACTCATCCTTTGCAATGTGCATATTCCTTTTCTACAATAACTCCTGTGAATAATTTATTTGAGTTTTATTAAAACATTCACTAAAATATATGTTATATTTACTATTTCACTGACACTTTTTCAATTGCTTTCTTAAAAAAATAGTACATATGCATGACAGTTTTACCTACATTTATGTCTGTGTGTCCCATGTATGCTTGGTGCTGAGAAAGAAAAGATGGGGATACTAGGTATCTGCAAGTAAAGTTTCAGATGTTTGTGAGCCTGCATGAGGGTGATAGGAATCAGTTTCTTCAGATGATTAATCAGTGCTCATAATGGCTGAACCTTTTCTCAAGTCATTGTGATTTGTTTGTAATCCATTGATTATTTGTTTAAAATTTAAAATAATTGCTTGATTTTGTTTTCCTTGTTTAATTTTATGATATTGTGTTTCATTAAAATGTTATTTCACTACTCTCTTTGTGATATTGCTTAGGGATATACTATTCTACTACATCATTTTTATGTAATTTCACATTGTCAGTTAAAGTTTACCTTTCAGTTAAAACTGGTGAAAGAAAATAGATTTAAAGCTTCAATATTTTGGAATGGCAAATGAGGAAAACAAGGAGCTTGTGGGTTGTGCATGAATAACTAAAAGAACACATGTGAATGATAATATCATAGTAATCATGCAATTAAGTGTACACATGAATAAATAAGTAATAAAAAGAATGCTAGGAAAAAGCAAAGCAGAAATAAAGATCAATACATAGATACATAAATGTACAGATACTTCCCTCACAAAAAATAATATGAAACAAGTACTTTAAACATTCTTGCTTCATTTTATCCTCCAACCAATTTTGCATTTAATGGGCAATTTAATGAATAATTGGCATTTAGTACATACGTAGAAAATGGTTATTTCCTTTTCCTTTTTCTGTGTTTGCTATTAATTATCCTTCTCTGTTTTAGTCAATATTTTGCATATTTTATCAAGTTGCTATTTAATCATGTGTTCTCATTATTAATCTGGGAGTTCCATCCTAATTCACCGCTTTTCATGTTAATTTCCCTTGACTGCATTCATAATAAAAACACTTCTTCCAACAATTGCATGAAAGCTGATTTATTTATCAACAACTTTGGTATTTTACCTGATCTTTGTAATTCTGACTCAAATAATATCTTTAAAAATCATTATTTATTGTTTTGCATTTATAATTAGTGAAATTTCTTTATATTTTCTTTAAAATTGTTATGTAATAATATGTCAATCTATTTCTTATTCTTAATTAAAAAAAAACAATGAAAAATAGCTCATGCATCACCAGAGAGGTACATCAATACATAAGAATACTTGATACTAATCTTCAGTGTTTGCAGTGTTTGATTCCCAGGTTTCACTGGGCGGTTTTCAACTTCTTTAATTTCAATTCCATGGCATCTAATGTCTTCTCTGGCTTGATACACCTATAGTGAACAGATACATCCTGGAATTACTCATGCACATAATATAAAATTATTCATCCATGTTTATTGCTTTTTAAGTCAAAATAGGTGGAAAGTAGAAACAGCCAAGATGTTCATCAATTAAAAAATAAAAATTAAAATGTAGAATATTTAAGCAATGGAATATTATTCAGTTATTAAGCAATATGAAATTGTGAGAAGAGCAGGTAAATGGATAGAATTGGATACAGTCTTTCTGAATGAGAGCACCTGCACATAAATTAAATGTTACATTTGCTCCCATTTGCAGGTGTTAGTTTGTAATCTTTAAATATGTGTGTTTTGTTTAGAATACCCTTAGAGGTTAGTAAATTACTAAAGACCTTGTAGAGAGTCTTTCAAAACAGTCAAGACAAAATGCACTAGACTATATGAATAATATGAATTCTGGAAAGGAAGGTATAAACAAGGATAGAGAGGAGGCCAGAATAGGAAAAGGGTACTGGAAGGGTTACATAAGATTGTTATATAGAAACCAAATACTGTGGTAACTTCCTGAAATACATCTATAAAAATCAATAAAACTCTTAAATGGAGATATCTTGTAATGGTGCATCAATCTCCTACTAGACAGTATAGGTTAACTAATATAAAGCCCATTCCCAGGAATGGGTAATTTATTTTGAGGTTGTTGGTCTGTGTGGTCCCATAGACCAACAAGAATTAAACGCTACTGATAGTTTGTGTTGACCAAATACCATTAAATATGTGCTTTTCCACTTTAGCATGGTAGACTTCCCAGGGGCTATACTCTTAGAAAAACTGTCTCCCTTTTCTTGCAATAACAATTGTCAATAGCTCCATATCAACAGCTGTGATTTAATGACAAACTCTCCACTCCATACTTGGATTTGGTCTTGCTTGAGCTTGCAAGGTTCTTGACCACCCTGTCCCAACAGCTGTTAGTTCATATGTGAAGCTATCTTTCTCTGTGTCCAGATGATATTGTTTCCTTATAGTCAACTAGTGCCTTATGTTCTACATTATTTCTGCATGCTATGTCTTCCACAATAGTCCTTGAAACTGTGAAGGACAGCCTACAATGTACACCTTCCATTTAGGGGTAAACATTTTGATATCTCTTACTCTCTGTGCTTTTGTGAGTCGTGGGACTCTGCTCATAGTGACTAAGAAACAGGTTCTGGAATATTGTATATAGATGACAGCTAACTTCTTGGAATTTAGAAAAGTGTGCCTTCTACAAAGAGATATGCAAATCTCTTTTAGCTATAGTTCTGTCTATAATAGAATGTGATCCAGCAGGACTCCCTAATGGCTCTTATGAATCTGCAATTCTTCTGCATGACATACGGTTATTGTGGTAAATTAATTTTTACATACACAACTGTTCAAATATATCGAGGAAGTGGAACTGATTATCCTGTGGGTTTGTATACTACAGTTTCTTTTTTCAATTCATTTCTTTCTTCTTTCATCTGAACAATTGTTGTTGATTTGGTTCTAGATTATTGAATAGTGTATCATTTTGGATATAGAAAATAGATTGGCTTCTTTTGTTCTGACAAGGTTTGAGAATGTCCCCAAACCTTTACACGCAGATAATCAGTGTGATGATATTAAGATGTATTGTACCCTTTGGTAAGTGGGAATATTGGCAGGTGAATGTGTTATTGAGACCTCTGCTCTGTAAAGGAATTAGTTACATTAGCACTCTCGTAACTTTTGTGTGAGTAAGTTTATATGAAAAGAATCTCTGTTTCTCTGGCTTCCTGTCATGCTATGTGATATTTCCCAGTAGCTGTTAACAAACAATGAAGAACCAAACTAATAAATAAGCAAACAAGCTAAAGTCATTTTCAGATTTTTGCTATCAATTCTAAGTTGACTCATCTCACACAGGACACTGACCTTTATTTGTGGTTCAGGTTTGATGTTGGTAACTTATTTGTTTCCTGTTAGATTTCTCTCCCATTTGGCAACTTATCATACATAGTTTTGAATATGGGTATAACAAGTTTGTAATGTAAGCTGAAGAGAATGATGGCAGCATATAATCCATTCACCTATGAAATCTTTCATCTTAACACATAAATTGGTTAAAACTTGTTCATATTTAGGAAGTAAATCCAAACATAACTTAAGCATATTTTCGTGGTAATAACACCAAATAAACATGTACTTATAGTACCTCCACAGCAATAAATCAGTACTTTAATGTATTCTACTAAATATGGTTTACTCTTGAGCAATTGCTATTCTTCTTTATAGTTATATATCTTTTTAAAATAAAATAGTATAATACAATTTTCCTTTTCACTACATTGTATCCCCTTCTTTTCAGTTGTTTTCATCCATTTCCATTAAATAAAAAACTATCCAAAGTTTCTAGATTTTATCAAAATATCAAAACTACTCACAAAAATAATCTTCCAGATTGCTAATATAGTCAAATTGCCTTTTAAAAGTATTACAGCTCTGCTGCATGGAACCCAGACTGCTGTCTGGAAGGCCAGCATGTGAAAGATCCAGACTCCTGAATGTGGATGTCAATGAGGAGGCCTTGGCACTCTATGGGCCTCCTGGTAGTGGATAAGTATCTTTGAGAGCCCATCCCACATGAAGAGATTCTCTCTTGGCCTGGACACATGGGGGAGGCCCAAGCCCGGCTCAGGATGATGTGGTGAACTTTGGGGAGCCCCCATGGAGGGCCCTACCCTCCATGGGGAGCAGAGGGGGGAGTTTAGGGGGCTGGAGGTGGGCTGGGGGGAGGGGATGGAAAGGGAAAAGGGATTCACATGTGAAGCAAGCTTGTTCCTAATTTGAACTAATAAAAATAAATATAAAAAATTATATCTATGCTGAAAATTTATCTGAGCAACATAAATCCTAACAATGGAAAGGTATAGCACTTTCCCCAAAGGTTATAAGGAGAATAAAATATATTCATATGTATTTAATATCTGAGTTTTTTAAGTCTTCTGACTTCATAACCAAAATACTGAAAATTACTTGAAAAAACTAATTATTTTGTCCAGTGTTTCATTGGCTTTAAGAGGAGGTATTATTTGCTTAAGATTGTTATTTTCCCAGAAGGAGAGAAAAGGTTGCAATCATTTCAATCCAATTATGTGTGTTTTACATCTAATTTATCTTCAAAGTAAAATCAGTAAATTAGAGGCTTTATTATAACAAGATAGAGGTTTCTCAGTCAGCAAGGGAAGCAGATTCCATTACCCAGGTAGAAATATCAAGCACTACTTTTAAGTAATAGATCGGCATCTTTTATATCGATTTGGCTCCAACTTGACCTTACTTTCATACCCATGTGGTTTAAGTCAAAATCTCATTTCTTCTGGAAAGAGATGTGAATTTAGTTTATGGGTAATGTTAAAATAAAATGTCACAAAGAAGGAAATATTGTTTTGAGAAATAGCATGGCAGGTATCTTTGCTATTTTATCACTAAAATAATGAGATACCCAATAGTTTACATAAAGATGAAGATTTCAAATGGTTATCTTATTAAAAATTAATAGTAGATGTTATTGAAATTATTGCCATAGAATCTATATATAATGATTTAAAGAAACACACACACATACACATAATGTATTGGTGACGTATTTAGACATATGCTGATAGTTTGCTAAGCAAAAGCAGAACAATGTTGTGAATTTCACTGTCATAGTAATATCATTAATTTGAGTGGAAGTTGTGTCAGATTTTGTGTATGCAAGGCAGAGTCAAAGCTCTACAGAGAGAATAAAGAAAAAGAACGACAAAACCAAAAGCTTTTAGCTGTCTATGTAGTGGATATGACACCATTAAAGCAGTCACATTTTTTCACCATAAAATATTTTTTTTCATTAGTGCACCATTTTTACCCTAGGAAGGAAAGATACTTAGAGTATCATGGCAGAAGAGAGAAATTTGTCCACACAATTATCTGCCTGAAAGATTTATGTTTTGTATATGAAGCCAATAAAGCCTGTCAAGTCATTCTCTGTATTTCAAGAAAGTAACGGAGGAAAAGAAGCAGTCTATGGAAGTGAGATCACATGAATCCATATGTCATAGGATTCTATTACAGAAGGAATATCATTACTCCCATTATTATGCTCATTAAAAATTACAAATCTGAGTTCTTGAGATCCCAGAACCTTGTGAAATGCATCATATAAGACAAAGTGTCCTATTAACACCACTGCACTATATAATAGATCAGGTTACTGCCTTCTTTTTACAGGTAAGTAAAATGAACCTCTGAAAGATTCAGTCATTTATCATGGTCTCATGGCTAATAAATGTCCTTTTGGACCCCACCTAATTCCAGACTTACTCCCTCAATACTGAGAAATCAAAATCCGAGGAGTAAATGAATAGTGAACCATTGTGGTTATCTATGTGAGTTATGGCAGAAGCCTATTCAGCCTGATATGGACTTACATACCCACAGTGCTGAATTGAAATGGCTGTGTTCCATCCATAAAACCTGAGGGAGAAGATTTCAAACATACAGTTCTGATATGTCTCTTTTAGGCCCAAACAACATGTCATTCTCCCTAGGATTCTTCTGACTCACTATTGCATAATCCAAATTACTCTTTTATATTCTATCTTAATACAGACTATATCAATAAATATTTCTGGAAAGATACAGTTAGCTCAAATTAGCAATTGACATATATTTTTTGGTTTTGACCTCTTATCACCTGCTTCATTTATATTTAGCTTATTACTATTTACTTTATGTATTTATGAGACTTTTGGATAAAATGTACAACTGTTATACTTTTGGTTGTGTTTGTTTATTAAATAATCTATAGCATGTTTAATATTAACTAAATCTTAGAAGGGTCACTTAAGCATTGGTGGCACATGCCTTTAATCCCAGCACTTAGGGGACAGAGGCAGATGGTTCTCTGTGAGTTCAAGGCCAGCCTGGTCTAGAGAACAAGTGCCAGGATAGGCTCCAAAGCTATACAGAGAAATCCTGTTTTC